AGTGCTTTAACCCGCTGCGCCACCAGGGAGGGCCTGTACCACATCTTTTTAATCCAGTCATCTACTTTTGGACATTTGGGTTGTTTTCCATGTCTTTCCTATTGTAAATAAAGTAGCAGTAAACATAGGGGTGCAGATGTCTTTTTGAATCATGTTTTTGTGTGATTTGGGTAGATACCTAGGAGTGGGATTGCTGGGTCATGTGGAAGCCCATTTTTAGCAGTTTGAGAAACCTCCAAACAGTTTTTCATAGTGGTTTGCATTCCCACCAGCCCTACAGGAGAATTCCTTTTTGAACATTGTACTTTTTTTAAAGTGATACAATAAAGTCTTACCCTTCTGCTCTCCTGTTTTTTAAATTTTAGGTGCAGAATTTCATGTGTCACTGCTTTCAATTGCACAGCTATTTGATTTTGCTAAAGATTTGCAAAGAGAGATATATGATGAGTAAGTAAGGCAGTGTGGAGAAATGAAGATGTCCATTTCTAATCTTGTGTTAAAGGTTTGAAGTTGGGTATTTAGAAAGGGAGGGTGCATAATCTTGGAAGAAAGCTGTGTTAGGACCACTATATTATAGTACATGGAGAAGTTTGACTGACTTATGGCTTCCCTTGGGAAATGGTTTGCTTTTATTCAGTAACAAATGTTTCCTACAGCTTACATAAAATTTTATATCCTTGTTTTCCTGGCATGTCCTTTGTCTATAAAATGAGAGTTATACTCATGAATATTTATAGTGGGTGCTGCAGGTAATTTTATTCATGTTTGAGAATTGTTTGCAGCGTACCTGGTGAATATTCTTACCTGGTATGCCTTAGTTTTTTAAGAGACAAATAGGACTTGCTCTTTGGATATCTTTAGGGTTTTTGTAGAAGGCTAGGTTGTGTTTTTTCTTTGTCCCAGAGAAAATCAAGAGCCTGGATATAATAGTTTTCTATGGCTTGAGACACAGAATTAACTTTGAGAACTAAATTGAAAGTTCATATTTGTGAATGATGTTTGAAACATTCTGAAACCTAATAAGCGAGTGACAACTCTGATCCATTGATAGCAACGTTTAGATAGTGAGTGTGAAAGCTTGTGGGGAGAGCTTGTGGGGAAATGGCTGTTATGGTGCTGAAATTATCAATGGGGGTGTGTATGTGCCTTGTTAGAGCATAGGGAGCTGTCGCTGTTTGATTTCTGTGTTGGTCTTGTGTCATGGGTCTGATGCCAGTAAGCTATGTTTTTTCAGCCTTCAAACTATGCACACAGATGACCCCCTCACTTGGGATTATGTGGCACGGCGAGAATTAGAGATTGAGTCACAGCCAGGAGAAGAGCAGCCTACAACAAAACAAGCAAAAGCAGTGGAAGTGGGCCGGAGGGAAGAGAGATGCAGTGCTGTATATGAAGAGGCAGTGAAGACTCTCCCTACAGGTGAATGTCACAAAACCATGATGCGGTGTGGAAGTCATAGAATTCATGGATGTGAGATCAAAACTCCCAGTTACCAAAATCTGTACTAGGATTTCCCTATAGTACTGTTTACAGGGTGCTTTTTCTTTTGCTGGTGGTGAAAGATGAAGCTTTTATGATCTTCCTTGATAGTAGTGGTATTGATTTGGAGGAAGTGATAATTAGGGAATAATAATTTAGAAGATTGTTCATTATCTTTTTTTTTTTTAAAGATTTATTTTACTTGTGTATACAGAACTGGGGTACAGGCCAGAGATGCAGGGGAGATGAGAGGATTCACCAGAGGCAGAGTGGGGAGCAGAACAGGCTGACTGATGAAGTACAATGCTGAGGGGAGCAGCGGGCGGGTCAAGAGAGGTCTGCCACGCCATGTGGTCACCTCGGGGGCAGGCAGGGATCAAACTCATGCTGCAGTGGCTTTAGCTTCTTAGTGCTGTGTTTTAACCCACTGCCCCACTAGGGAGGGCCTGTTCATTATCTTTTGATAAAGATTTACTTTTTAAATTGCTGGCATTGGAGAATGGGGGTACTGGGAATGTAAGAGAAATGTATAAGTCTTTAAATTTTAGATTTATATCATTTCTCAGTTGCTTTTCCCCTAATATTTGGGATGTTTCAATGACTAATTTCATTAGTAATCAGAACAGCTTTTTCCTTTAGGCAAGTTAAAGTTCCTCAAAGTTGTTTACTCTTTGAGGAAAAGATGTGTGATGATAATTAAACTAAGAGAATTAATTATCTGACCACCACAATCTTCTTGACTTTTCCAGAAGCCATGTGGAAATGCTACTTCAGCTTTTGCTTGGAAAGATTTGCTAAGAAGACAAGTAGTCAGTTCCTCAGAGAGAAGGTAAAGACACTTTAGCTGGTAGCAATGGCTGGCTAGAGAGTGACTGTCTTCTGGAAGATCATTTGCATAATTTCTTTTGGGTTCTGGGACAACTTCCAAGAATTCTGTGCATTGCTGCTCCTTCTCCTGTGAGTGATCTGTTACTTTGAAGGTCTGAGTCTGCTTTGCCTTTATAATGGCCACTGCTTTGGGGGCTGCTCTCCTATTGGACTGCGCTTGGCTCAGCTGCCCAGATGACCTAATACTATGTGAAAGCATCTCAGTTCCTTCGTTTAGTTTTCGAAATGCAAAACTGCTTTTGTTCCTGTCAGAGGCCAAAGGCCTTGCTGGGATCTAGTAACATGTAAGAAACTGAGGGGTTTTTCTGCTTTCAGAGGCTTGAAAGAACTGTGATTGCATTCAAGAAGGCACATGGACTCAAGCTTCTGCCAGAGCCTCAGTACAAGCAGTGGGTAAGGATATGGAAAGTGCTCACTACTAATTATATGTACTTAATTTCTAGTTAGATTGTGCTGGTATCATGCGTTTGCATATATATAGTTATATGAGTAATCCCATTTAGCAGTTTGGTATGGTAGCTGTAGAGTGTTTATATTTGTCTGTCACTGGTCTGTGTTAAATGGAATCTGTCAGTAAAGGGAGGAACATTGTATATAGTGGAAAACACTCAGAACAAAGGCACAATGTGGGTTTGTTTTGTTTGTCAGTATCTTTTACTGGACATTCTTGTCTTAAGCACATGCTTCACCCAGATTAAGCATTGGTAGAAAGACAAATTATAGCTGCACTCCTGTGTTTTAGAAGCTGACATTTCTAATAAGAGGCATATTAACCCTTTCTGACCCTCTGGAGTGGGTCAGGGTTTGTAGTGAGCAGAATAATGTGCAGTGGGCATACACACTTCTAGGCTTGGGTTTGCCCAAACACTGGGCAAAACACTGAACCTGAATTTGTTTAAAATTGTGATAGTCACCTTGTTTTTGCAATCTCACAAAGTGATTGTGAGCATTACATCAAATAATGAATGAATGTGTTGATGTGCTTAAGTACCTTTGTAGGGGATAAAAGGACCAAGGTCTTCATATTGAGTACCTTTTTTATTTGTCTGACTCTTGACCTGTGCAATTTTTATGTAACAGTGATCTGTTTATACTTTGAGTTTCCATCTCCCACTATAGCATCTTTCTAGGAAAAGACTTGGGCCTGGATGAGTTCGGTTTCTCCTTCTCGAGCTCTTGAATGTGGGCAGGGCAGTCACCCTGATAAATTCAGATGGGTTTTTCTTTGTTGCCTTGGTTTCTTGCTCTCTCTTCATGTTCCTTTTGCTGTTTACCATCCAGCTATTTCAAACATAGTCTCCTGCTCACATCTTAGACACTGCTCTTCTTAAACCTACCATCACAACACTCATTTGTGGATTTTATCTTTCAATGAGAGTCTCTTAATGTACTGCTTCTAAACTTAGAATATTTAGCTGACTTTGCCATTATCTTTTTGACAGATTTCTCTCTATACGTTAACGTTTAGAACTGTGTTCTTATCCTCTGGATAAAACTGCTTAGTCTCCTTAATTTGCTCCGGCTTGTTACTCTAGTTTTACTTTCCATTTCTACAGGTTACACCCCACCTAGCTAAACTTGGATTTCGATTTTATTCCAAGCTCTGTCATCTGCTCCTTCTTTTGCTTGCTGGTTGGGAGATGCTTCTCTCTTCTACATGTGCCCCTGTGGTGTGATTCTTTTTCTATCACGACATGTATCACAGTGTCTTTACTGCTTAGACTGGATGCTCTGTGGGCATGAGGGAACATACTTGATTTGCTCATTATGAACCTAGCAAATATGGTATGCAGTAGAAGAGCTTGCTGAATGAATGAATTCTATACTGCCCTTTACTTGCTTTTTCAGTTTTGTAAAATTGGATTGGTATTAGTTTTGCTTTCTCCTGGGGATACCAGCATCTTAACAGATATGATTTCTTTCTGTTCATTTACTTGCTTGGTTATATTAAAATTACCAAATTTCATATATGTACACATTCATGACTATTACACATAAAGTCAAATTGCCATTTCAAAAAGATTGTACCAGTTTATAGTGTGTCCAGTTCTGTATGAATGAATGCTTTTTCATACCACAAATAAATGGTTTTATCTTTACAGATTTTTATAATCTGATGGCTGTGGGTTTTAGTATAGCAGACTATTTTATTAAAAACTTCCAGTGTAAATTATTTAGATCTTTTTCCTTTGTGTTTGATTGCTCTGGAGAATAGAAACAGATTGGAGGAAGAATTGGAAATTGTTTACTTTGTGTTTGTCCGACAGCTGTGATAAAAGATTGTTGAAATTATTGTTCTGTTGACATAGATAATTAAGTTTTTGGTAGTTAATTTTCTAATGATCCTGTTCCTCATCTAGATTCAGTTGTTACTGGACCATGACTTCTTAAAGGAAGCACTGGAAGTGGCAGATGCTGGCACAGAATTGTTTCGAGACTCTGTGATGATGTGGCAGATGAAGCTGCAGGTGCTGATTCACTCCAAGAGCCCTGACATGGCCGTGTTATTTGAAGAAGCCTTTGTGTGCCTCAAACCCCAGGTCTGTGAGTTGGGTCTTTCGTATTTCATTCTATTTGGAACATTTGTTAAGACATCGGCCAAAACTCACATGGATTGTACTTGTCTGATGAGAGCTGACCCTGGAAAGCGTTTGTGGTGATAATACATGGATTAAGAATAGAAGAATTTTCTTCCATTTAATAGCCTGTTTCTGGTTCTTTATTTGAAAATGGACTAATTTTATACAATTGTCTGTTCCATTGAGATACATTAATAGATTATCTTATAGGTGAGATATATTAATAGATTATCTTTCCAAAGCTGAACTTAAATCCAGTTTTTAAACATATTTTCCTAAACCTTAAGGCTTTATAGTGACTCTTTTATAGTAATAGAAAAAATAACTAATTTCTGTGGTAATAGGAAAAGCTTTTTTTTTTTTTAAGATTTATTTATTCATACAGAACTGGGGTATAGACCAGAGATGCGGAGGGTGAGAGGATTCACCATAGACAGAGTGGGGAGCAGAACAGGCAGATCGAGGAAGCACACTGCTGAGGGGAGCAGTGGACGGGTCAAGAGAGGTCTGCCGCGCCATGTGGATCACCTCCAGGGCAAGCGGGGATCGAGGTCTGCCGCGCCATGTGGGTCACCTCCCTGGTGGGGAATAGAACTTGTGGTGCAGTGGCTGTGGATCACTTCATGGGGCTGTGCTTTAACCCACTGCGCCACCAGGGAGGGCCCAGTAATAGGAAAAGTTTTAACAGTTTCTTTGGTCATTTGTGTGTGCGCCTCTGGGTTGAAAGTCAGATAGTTGAGCCTGTAGTAGTTAGTTCTTAACGTGGTGCCGCCTAGATAGCAGACATAATGACCTGGGCTTGTCTGGCTGTGGGCTATTAGTTATTTAATTAACTAACAGGTAATTAATGGCATTAACTGTAGGCAGTGTTCCCTGACAGAGGAAACTGGGTGACTTGGGCAGGAGGCTGTCCATCTGTGTTAAGGCCTACCATTCTTGCTGGTTGCTGGGTTTTCTGTCACAGTGATGACAGACTAGGAGTGGATTAGTGCTTTACAGACTGCTTCTCTTAAAAGCACTTTTTTTCTGTATAGTGAATAGTTTGCAGAGCACAGTGCTAAGTTGTCATTTTCTAACTTTTTTTTTATTGTGAGCAGGACTGTTTACCATTGTGGCTTTCTTGGGCAGAGTGGAGTGAAGGTGCTAAAAGCCAAGAAGACACTGAAGCCATCTTTAAGGTATAGAGTCTGTGTTCTAAGACTGTGGTGTGGAGAATGAGCAGATAACCTCACTAGTTAATTAGCTTTAGTTTATTTCTATAGCATGTGTTTCTAAAGCATTGTTGAGTACCTGGAATGTTTCTGGAAAATTTACTTTGATATTTATAAATTTTTTGCTGCTTTGATATTTAAAAATTATTTTTTATTTTAAATTACAGAAAGCTATGTTAACTATCAGAGGCACTGACTCAATCCCTCTGAAGGAAAAATACCTGGATTGGGCTTACCGAAGTGGAGGCTACAAAAAGGCCAGAACTGTGTTTAAAAGGTACTCAGAAATGTTCATGGCTGTTACTAGTTTACTCTGAAATGTTCATGGCTGTTACTAGTTTACTCAGAAATGTTCATGGCTGTTACTAGTTTACTCAGAAATGTTTATGGCTGTTACTAGTTTACTCAGAAATGTTCATGGCTGCTACTAGTTTCTCAGGTCTCATCCTGATTACATGTGTCACAAGAGGAAGGGAACAAGTAATCTGAGAGGCCTTTTAAAGTTCTCTTTCCCTTTTTTGAACAATAAAAGCACTTCATTCCCACTGTGAGGTTGGTCAGGGAGAGAGAGAAAGGAGATAACTAATAATACATGGTAATTTCATCTTGAAGAGAAAAACCATGCTAAAATATTTTATAGTTTGTTTTTCACATACTTGAGATTATACTATAATTCTGTTTTGTATATTGCTTTAATTAATTAACATCAGACTAGTTTTTTTCCCCTGTCAGGAATAGTTCTTCATGAATATCACTTATTAAAAATAGTTATATGGCATATTGTTCAGTGAGTGTAGTATAGTTTATTTGGCCACCGTGATACTACTTTGATAAATATTTGTGCACAAATAATATTTGCTTATGTTGGAAATTATTTCCTTAGAATATATTCTAAGAAATGGAATTATTGCTGTCCTTCAAAAAGACCTTGAGATGTAGTAGGGGAATTTAAAGAAGAGAACAGAAAGAAAACTGGGCAGGGAAAAGTATAGTGGTGGTGAAGAGTAAGAGATGCTGAGAGTCAGTGCTGGAGATTGAATGTTGAGAGTGACTGCTGGCCAGACCACATTGCGTTGAATCATGGCCTGGCCTTTATGAAGCCATGTGTTGCAAGGTACTGGCGTAAGCATTTACATTTATGGGGATATGTATTAAGAGGCTTGAGGCTTTCTATCACTGTGAAAATAACATCTCATTTTTAGTTTACAGGAAAGTCGTCCATTTTCAGTTGATTTCTTCAGGAAAATAATTCAGTTTGAAAAGGAACAGGTAAGTGTTCTGTGTTAGGCATTTCTTGCCTGGGAAAATCGACATAGTGATTACTTATCTATGGCAGCATTTGTTATTTAAAAAAAATCTCAAAATAAAGAATAAATTTCTAGTTCCCTTCATCCAACCCTGTTTTTCATTTTTCATAGTGGTAATTTTAAGAATGGTCAGTAAGCAAAAAAAAAAAAGTCTGCATGCTGCAAAATAGAAAACTCCTCCCTACTAAATAGGGTGACATGTGGCTTTCTGCCTGCCTCTACTGTCTGATTTGTTTCTCTTACTGAGATGTAGGGTGGAAAGTAGGCACTCAGTAAGTTTTTCTGGTGTTCACTAAACTTGTAGAGTGAGGAAAGGTGCAGAAAAGTCAATATATTCTTGTTTTTGTTAAAAATTTATTTATATATAAACAGTTT